GTAAAACATAAAAAAAATCTTTGTAATTAGCTCGACAAGAAACACAGATAAAAAGGATTGAAAAATTAGAGTATCTTCTTTAATAACAGGCAAAAACATAATAAATCATTAATTCTAATACCTGAAAAAAAATCTCACAAATGTGAGGAACTACTCACAGATTGGCAATACTGTAAGTTACGTCAGTGAACCGTATTATAAAATAGAACAATCCCTATCGGCAAAAGTAAACCAAATTGAATTCGCGCATTACGTCACAGGAGTACTGGTGTGATTGCGCACAAAGTGGCTTTGCAGGTCCGTTTTAGCCATTTAATGTACTTGTTTTAAAATCAGGAGAAATTAACATTTCTGAGAATCAACAATAAAAAAAATCCAATTTACTCTTCCGTTATATTCCTAAAGGTAGAATACCACCTTTACCACTTACAGTAATAAATTTTATTTTTTTTTTACTATATGTACGGGGATATCAAAAAATAGGAAATAAAGTAGAGTTACACTTATTTTTAAAAATATAGTAAAAAAATATACGGAATGAGTCACCTATCTAAACAAAAAAAAAAATGATATGTAATAAGTATCGACAAATTTTATTATTTCTTACTTTAAGAATAAGCAAACGTACTGTGTGCTTTGAAAGTAATTTGTACCTATACGGAGTGTTTCTAAACATCGTTCACATACAGAAGGGGGTAATTCTTAAGCTCATTTAATGAATTAAAGTTTATATAAACATAGGTCCGCAAATGCTTCGTTGCCGATCTACAGGGTGTTGAAATTTCAATATTTTTATGTTTTTTTTTAGAGCCCCTGCAGTTTTTGAGATATTTAATTTAATTTGTCCCTATCCCAGATTTGAACCCGGGGCTTTCGCATGAAAAGCAAGTGCTCTGATTTTACCACCACCGAGAGGCTCTTAATTTTTTTTATTTAATACTCGTAATTAAATTGTCTTCATATTCTTGTATTAAACTTAACGAATTATTTAAAATTATAGACGAAATAAAAATAATAATGCTATTATTTATCGATTCTACACAAGAATAACTTATTTTAATTTATATTTAATCTCAATAACTAAAAAATATACTAACAATTAGTTTGACAGAATTGTCACTTATTTATTAAATTATATAAACTGTGATTGGTGGATATCATTTTTTTTTTTTCAGTGTTCTCACTACCTAGAATGGACATGAAGTGTATTCGTTTAGTTGAACGTAATAGCATACTTTTTCGATTTATACGAGGCTGGGCTGAGAAATAATCGGCCTCGGCAGGAGTTGGCGGCGCTAGGAACAAATACAATTGTTTTTCGTAAAAACTGTCTTTCAAGTGACTTCTGTCAAATTTTCAGCGAGCTGCGTCACTTAGTTTGTACTTGACAGTAATAAACAAACAGATTTTGCATTTTTACAAAAATGAATAAAATCGAATATCGCGCAGTGATTAGATTCTTGTTTTTAAAAAAGAAAACGAACGATGAGATCAAAATCGAACTGGATGATGTGTATGGGGACAATATAATATTGGACTGCCGAATTTTAACGCGGTCGTACGATAATTTTTGAAGCTGAGCGTCCAGGCGGTCCAAGAGAGGTCACCACACCAGAAGTGGTCGATAAAATCCATGGTATGGTAATTGAAGATCGACGGGTAAGACTGTGTGCGATTGCTGAGGCTATGTGCATCTCACGTGAACGAGTGGAGAATATATCGCCGAATATTTGGGAATGACGAAGCTCGCTGCCAGATGGATGCCGCGTTTGCTCAATGCCGACAACAAGCGAAACCGTGTGACAACTTCAAAGAAGTGTTTGGCAATGTTTAACCACAATAAGAAGGACTTTTTGCGCCGTTTTGTAACCGTGGATGAAACATGGATTCATCACAATACACCATAGAGACGAAGGAACAGTCAAAGCAGTGGTTTCTCAGGGCGAGTCAAAGCCAAGGTGGGTCTGTCTGCCAACAAGGTCATGGCCACAGTTTTTTGGGATGCGCACGGTATTATTCATATCGATTACCTTGAAAAGGACAAAACCATCACCGGCGATTATTACTCAAAGCTGTTGGACCGATTCGATGACGATTTGAAGCAAAAACGACCGCATTTAGCGAAGAAGAAAGTGCTCTTCTGCCAGGACAATGCACCAGCGCACAAATGTGCAGTCGTATTGGCAAAACTGTATGAAATGCGTTACGAATTGGTTCTTCATCCGCCATACTCCCCAGATTTGGCGCCCAGCGACTATTATCTGTTTCCAGACTTGAAAAAATGGCTCGGTGGTAAGAGATTTGAGTCGAATGGGGAGGTCATCGCTGCGACAGAGGCCTATTTTAAGGACTTCGAGAAATCGTATTATTCGAAGGGCATCGAAAAATTGGAGAATCATTGGACAAAGTGTATAGAGCTTAAAGGGGACTATGTTGAGAAACAAATTGAGTTTTGTCAAAAAAGTTGTGTTTTCTTGCCTAGGCCGATTATTTTTCAGCCCAGCCTCGTCTAATGGTATGCAGAAACATTACAGGTAAACGATGGGGATGTAAACCAAACATACTGCTATGGATGTATACTGCAATAGTGAGACCAATCATCACTTACGGGGCTATAGCCTGGAGTAACAGAACTGGTTTAGCTACTGCGAGAGCTAATACCTCAAAAGTACAAAGACTAGCCTGTGTTTGCATTACTGGTGCAATGAGAACCTGTCCTACGGCCGCAATTGAAGTGATCTTAAACCTCACCCCTCTACATCTGATTATAGAGAATGTGGCAAAAAGGACACGATATAGAATGATCAGGAACGGAGTAATCAGACAAAATTCTACTTGCTTCAGGACTAAAGATACCTGGGATATGCACCAGGATGAAATGCTAAAGAAGTACAGTTTTGTGAAAAACTTCAAAACCACAGAGCTGGGCTGCAAGAAAGAATGGAGTCAAGAATCCATCGCGCTTGTAACCGAAAGACGTGCTATTCAGTGGTATACGAATGGTTCCAAAACCAAAGAAGAAACTGGAATGGGAGTGTACGAGCCGAGAACCAAGAACTCCGAAAGCTTGGGAAAATACCCAAGCATCTTGCAGGAGGAAATTTACGCCATTGAGAAGTGTATTGAGTTTACCATCGAGAGAAACTATCATAGACAAGAGATTATCATCGTGTCCGATAGTCAAGCAGCCATCAAAGCGCTGAGCTCTGAGTCAGCTCAAAAATGGTCTGGAGATGCCTAGAACAATTCAATGAGCTAGGCGAGAAAAACAGAGTTACTCTCACTTGGGTCCCGGGACATAACGGGGTACAGGGTAACGGGATTGCAGATAGTCTTGCAATGAAAGTGGCTTAAACACCCTTTGTAGGACCTGAGCCGTTCTGCGGTATCAGCAGTAACATAATATTGGGAGAAATTAAAAAAGAAATGGGCAGTAGAAGAACCGATAATTGCAACAATCTCTTGGGGCTGAGATAGGCCAAGATACTTCTAGGTGAATATAACCAGAAAAGATCGGAAGCCTGCATCTGCCTGAGCAAGAATAGGCTACGTATTGTAACAGGGGTCCTTACAGGGCATTGCCGACTAAAATGACACCTAAGTAAATTGAGAGTAGTAGAGGATAGTGAGTGCAGATTCTGTGAGGAGGAAAAGTACGAAACCTCCATTCACATCCTAACTGAATGTGTAGCACTTCAGAATCCAAGGGCACTATATCTAGGAGGATATCAAATAGAAGAGGGGGAGATTTTCCTAACTTGAAGCCACTTCAAATCCTACACTTCCTTAAGAAAATAGGATTGGAAGGGTCGTTATAGGCATTGAGACATTTCCTTGGTGCATTGGCGACAGAAGGGGACACAATAGATCTTTTAGGTCGCAGTGTATTAACACCCCATTCCTAATTCCCCATTCCACATAAGCTAATATCTATGTGGGTGTAGAAAAAATTTATTTAATGTAAACAGTTTTTTACAACGATTCTGATTCGTCAAAGATAAAACAATAATCATATCTATATACTAGTAATTATAGGCAATATTTTAAATTCAAAAAATCCTCTATAGAATGGACTTACATATTTTCAAAAATGTTTTGAGCTTATTCTAAAATAAAATATTTGTTTTACAGTTATTTATGAAGTTTATTGTACACATTTAAGAGGCCTTTTAGTTAAATTTAATTTATATAGTAACTGCATGACATCTATATTTTGCTTAAATTTATTTAGGCTTCTAAAAACATAAACAAATTTCTAGAACATATATTGAAGCTAGAGGCAAAATACCGTATTCTACAAATATTGGTAAACAAGAATCATATTAAGAAACTTTACCTATTATTCTTACGATCTTCCTTTAAAGAATAAAAACGTCACTATAGAGTCAGTTGAGTCATAGACCAATCCCGTATCTCAATCGAGATGTTACATGAGCAATATAAATACAGATTAAAGTTTCATGGTCTAAAACTTCTCCTACAATTCTAAACAAGTAACACAATGAATTTAATTTATTTTTTGTTAATTTAAAATGAGATTTAATCAACAAGCAACACAGCCAATTTTCCTGATAAAGTATATAAATTCAAATTAATAACTATAACTATACTCTATAACTCTATAGCACCACTGATCAAAACCAAACAAAAAAAATATAGAATAACGAATAACCTTTAAATCACACAAAAAATTGCAAAAACCAGTACTATAAAATAAAGATATTACATCAATAATGCACATGCATCCGAGTACAGATGTCAAAAGTACAATGTTTTCATGAAATTTGTGCTACATTTTCAGTAGCGTTAGAGAACTATTTTTACCAAGCGCACCCGATGATATTGGCATTACATTTTAAATATAATGTTCACTGGTATATGCAATAGGTCATGATTGTCGAAAGATTGAATTACTTTAACAAGATATGTATATACGGTCTGGATGTAATTTATGTAAAACACCAAAACTTTAAATTAAAATGTAAAATTCTCATACTCACCTGGATTATACCCCTCATAGGATCAACAATCAACTCTAGATCATTTCTTCCCAAATCTATAGTAAATTGCGCAGTTTTTTGGCCCAGATTTTCTAAAAACATGGATAATTGTTCAGAGGAAGTTCCGATGTCTATATCTCCAAAGTGTAACATTCTAGGTGTAATTTTTACGTGAGATACACCAATCTGCCTAAAATAATCCCTAACAATTATTTTGGATTGAGTACGTTAAAAATGAAAATTGTTCCATTATTTCTATAGAATACAGTATGTATGTATGTATATGTACTTACACTTCTATCGGATAGTAAACGGGTTGTTCGTTGATATATATGTATATAAGAGCCTGAGGGACAGCGACTGCTGAATTAAAAGTAAACTTTACATATTTGATAATACTCATGCCTGTTGAAAGCTTAACTCCCTTTGGCAATGGCTTTAGTTTAAACGCCTAAAAATTAACATTTTAATCAAATAGAAGAAATTCATGGATATAACTAGGAAATTTACACGAATATGTATTAGAAGCGCAGAAGGTAAGCCCAAATCAATAAAGGTTAAAATTAGTAAGAAATAACAGACTAAAAGATGCCTACAGAAAAAAGGTCATCGTAGAAATAGAATAAAAAAGAGTTGAAAGCCAAACTAAGACCAGCATAAAACAAATATTTGGAAATAGTATAAAGAACCATTGAATCACTGAAACTTATAATATACAGAGTAGGCCGCTGAAAACAGTCTACCCCTGTATTTAACAGTAATAACAAAATGCTGAAATAGGGAACACTTTGGTGACTGTAAACAATACGGACACAACAATTTTCACTATTTTTGCTATATTCTTATTGAAAATGATACTACTTACTATTTTTGATCAATTTAACTACGGCAAAACCAAAATAACCAAAGTTAATATAAAAATATAATGTATTAATCAGAAAATTAACCATTTTTTTGAAAAAAGCTCTATTATTATCTATAGCCACGTTGTCAATTCTTTAAATGCCTGTATTTGATAAAATATCGGACAATCGTTAACACTATTAGTACGGGATCCGGCTGCGAAATTAATACATTCATAATGTAGTTGATCGAAATCTAATTTCGACATTGCCGCCAATTTATTTAAAAAAAAAATCTCAAATAACACATATTTTAGAAATTTGACATGCTAGTTATATTTAGAAGTCAAAATTTTTATACAAAGTGTACAAAAGTTAATGCAATTAAAATTAAATTGCTGATAGGTTCACAAAAAAGTTTTGAATAAAAGTTTTATGAAATTATTTAGGTTATCGGTATAAGTTAATAGGTTGGTTATTATTCCAAAATTAAGCAAGAATATATTTTTCCGTACTTTATTGAACTTAAAATAAAACCATTGTACTAACTTTATTAGCTATTAAAGCTAGTAAAAAAATATCATTGCATTATTTTGGAGTAATAGTACGTCTAGTATATTTCTAACTGACTTATACCGATATAACTTGATTTATTTCATAAAAATTTTATCCAAAACGCTTTTGGAATTCAAAAAATAAAAAAGTTTTCTAACATAAAAAACGCGCTCGTCTTTTAACATCACAACTACCTTGGAAGAGAACGCGCTTGGCCGACCGTGACGTTTTGAAATTCACGCTTGTCCTTTTTACATTTACACCATAAGAATACGCTTCGCTCGTCCCGCCCACGTCCTGACCGCTACAGAAAAGATCAAGCGCGCGAATTTCGAAACGTCGACCGAGCGCTCCATTTTTCTTCCTATATCACAAGAGCAAGTTACGCTCGTCCACATTCTTTGATTTTATCTTACTATACGGAGAATGGCCGCACTGCGCAGCTTTCTGAGTGCCTTTTAAAAGGAGATAGAAAACTCCGCCATTTTGATGCCTTATTATGTGTTGCCTACATCTTAGCGCAATATTTTTAACAGGTGCGTTTTAATCATCCGCTTCTGCTTTGGAATTGTCGGTTTTCTTATTTTAATCTGACAGGTTAAAACGACTAAACCGACAATTCCGGAAGCAGAAGCGGATGATTAAAATGCACCTGATATTTTGCTTGCTGCTGTCAGTGTCAGTAAATATTATTTTTGGAGTCTATTGCTAAAGAATCAGTTAGCTCACTCGGACCAGTTGAAAGTTCCAAAATAACATCCACTCCAGAGATACAAATTCAGGATGCGCAGAAGACTGCTGTTTTATTATAGGCGGTTGTCATATATTGTATTATCCGAGTTGCGCAGTGTATAAACTAGAACATAGAGATCAAAAGTGTCGACGCAGAGTGAGCGAACTGATTCTTTAACTATAAACTGTGGTAAAGGCATCAAAATGGCCGCGCCCTATGTTGGGCGTGTCGGACCTCTCTCTTGCACCGTATAGTAATCAAAGTATGTGCGCTCGTCCCACTCACGTCCTAACCACTACAGAAGACAGTGGGTGAAGTCAATGAGGTGTCAATAAACCAATGGTGGGACGATTGTAGTTCTTATGGTGTATGTGTAAAAAGAGCGCGCCCAGTCGACGTTTCGAAATTTGCGTGCGAGAATTTCGAAACCTCACCCGTGCACATCCTTCCTTCCTCTAGAAGTAAGGTCGTTGTTGGGACAAGCGTAGCTAATTATTATGGTAAAGGTGTGAAAAGGACATCCTCGCTTCGCTCGCTCTTTCATCTAGTGGTAAGCCTGTTAGTAGGACGCGCACAGCTGGCTTTTATGATGCAGGTTTAAAAAGGGCGCACTCGCTTCGCTCGCTCCTGTCTCTAGGAGTAAGGCCGTTGGTGGAACAAGCATAGCTGTCTGTTATGGTGAAAGTGTAAAAAAGGTGCGCACAAATTTCAAAACATCGGCCAAGTGTGCTCGTTTCTAAGGAAGTTGGGACGTGATACGATGAACGTGCTTTCATGATGTAGTTATGTCAGGAAACGTTTTTATTTTGTTTATGAAATAAATCAAGTCACCAAAGTAAGCCAGTTAGAAATATATTGGGTACACCATTATTACACAATAACGAATGAATGGCAAATGGCTAACAAAGTTAGAACAATGTTGTTTTACCGGTTTTATTTTAAATTTAATTTAGTACGAAAAACTGTTTAAAAAATATATTCCTTTTTAATTTATGAATATTGGTCATCCCAGTACATTTCTTATTAAGCACGAAGACGTATTTCTTATTAACTTATACTGATAACTTGATTTATTTCATGAAACTTTCAGCAATTTTTTTTTTTTTTGTAAACTTATCAGGAATGTACATATTAATAAGTTATTTTTTGTTCACTCTGTATATAAATGTCGACTTTAATATGTCAAATTTCTTAATTATAAGTTCATTAAAAAGATGTTTAAAAAACATGGCCATAGTATTTAAATTTATTATCTCCTATTTACCTATTTATTTGCTTCTATAATTTTCTGATGAGTTAAATTTTCTCTCTGGTAAAATAATCTTTTGAATATCTGAAATATCTTTATTTTAAAAATAAATTAAATAAAATAGTCCAGGATCCGTAAGTAGGGTCGACCTTCACCCATCTGTTTAATGGATAAAACTTATTTTTTATTAAATAAAATATGTTCTTAAATATACCGCAAATGGGTTGCCTAAGAAAATATGGTCACGGCCTTTTTTACTATCGTTTCTGTGTACAGATAAAGAAAGTATAAAAATCATGATAAAAGTTATTTATGGTGTCATTATCTATTATTTTGTTCATATACATGATTTTCCTAAAATGAACATAATTCGAGATATTGGAGGAAAAGTGCAAATTTTGAATTTTGAAGACAACTCAAAAACGGATGAAGAGAAAAACACCAAATTTTAAACTTAAGCTTTAAGCCATCCTGCGGTGAGCTGATTAAAGTTTGGGCATAGTTGAAGCATCTGGGGAATACTTTACAGGGTGTCGTTTTTTTTTACTTTAAGAAAAAAAATAGTCTGGACCGTATTTTCTTAGGCAACCCATTTGCGGTATATTTATAAATATATTTTATGTAATAAAAAGAAACTTTCATCCATTAAACAGATGGGTGAAGGTCGACCTTACTTCGGATCTTAGGCTAAAACGTAATTTAAAAATAAAGTGTATTGATGTACGTTCTAAATGGGACAGCTGAAAGTTTTCAGGGGTGACGTCACGCCGCGCCGGACTCAGTAGAAATTTATTGAATTCGGCTATCCTCTTTAGTTGATGTAGTCATTGACTTTGGTTGACAATTAATTCATTTGTTAGACTAATTAATTCTCTTGTTTGAAAGTTTTAAAACTTTTAAATAACTCAAAATAATTGTTGTTTATTACTTTATAGATGAAGTAATATTAATATTCAGTTAATATGTACAATTAAATCAAAATGGATAAAAAACCGCTGGATCTGACTGGAAATTAAAAGTTAAGTTTTTAGGAAAAGCAACGAAATAAATTATTAAAAGTAGTGCTTTTTAAAGTGTTTGGAAGTGTTACACTAAAAATAAGGTACTTTATGGGGTTTCCGATGGTATATTTGAAAAGTACTATTTTTCCTAATGCCTAAAATGTAAATATAAAAAATGGATTATCAAGAAAAATATATATTCTCAATAATTACCTTTTCATGCATGATATGAGCATTGTTTCAATATGTATTCGATTCATAAAAGTATCTAATCGTTTCTGTGAATTCTTAATCTAGATTTTGCTATAAATTGAAACGTTTGGTAAACATGCACATACCTTACACAGAAATCGAAAATCTTAGGTTAGAATCACCAAAATTCGCAAGTTTTAACTCAAATGTCTCTATTATTTATGCGTAATCCGCAATTTTTTTTGTTTGTTATTTCATTATACACTTAATACTATTTTCTAATTAAAATATTTTTTCGAAATTTATGTGTCCGTTACGTTTACAGGCAACAACACTTTTTTAAATGTCAACTTTCTCCCTTTCACATTTTCAAACCCTTAACATGAATGTAGCACATCGTTTAAAAAGTAATTATATGAGAATTGAAGCAATATTACTACTCATTTTGCTAAATTAACTAAATTGTACTATTAAAACTACTCATTACCGTAGATGTTGTTGGAAAAATTCTAATAAAAGCTGGACGCTCCCCAACATTAATTATTCTGAACTTCTCTTTAAATTTTTTACCATCGTAGGCTCCAATAAACCACAGGGAGGAAGGAATTATTCTAACTTTGTTGACTTCTATAAAGTCGTTATCCGTATTTTCGGGTTTAGGCTCCACGGCAGTAAGGCTGCTCATCATCATTATAAGCGGATTAGGTGGAACCTCTGCCTCAGAACTCATGGTTTAAATTATGATTTATCTCATCTATTAACAAAAATTATATAATTATTATTTTTTACACCAATTTATTCACAAAAATAATATTGTTTGAAATTTCTACAAAATAAGTGACATATTTTTGACAGTTTTCTTTTTATTGTTATGACCTTAGAGCATATAAGACTAGAGATATCATTCAATGTATTTTGTTATGTATAAGCGAGGTCATCACTTTAGACGTGAGGGGAGAGGGGTAGGTACTACATTCTCAATGGCATACGGTTTGAAAGGGTTCGTATTTATGTTTACCATTTATGCAGTGTAATGTCACAATAACTAATAATTTGGATGATTGATTCGCATTATTAAGGGCCTATCTTTTCACCTCTCAGTAAAGTTACAAGTATGTTTACTTGACAGATTAGCGAACAGCAGCCTATCGTTTAATCAGCAAGTAGTTATTCAACTTTACTCTAAGGTGAAATGACTGGGCACTAAGAGAAACAAATTTATTTAAAAATATTAAGGATTCTTTTTTATTTATGTTAAGTTTTCGTTATACACTGTATTATATACATGTTCTACTGAAAATGACTGGTCGTTTAGGATTGAAAACTTTTTTTATTGTAGATATAGGTTTTGAAACTGTATGCTTTCAAATGGATTCCTGGCCACGCATTATTTTCGTTTAGTTCAAGTAGATCATTTAAAAACTGAAATCTTTTTTATAGAGCATATAAAAGACAAGTAAATGGAAGTAAAAACAATAATTTCTTTTGATTTAACATTATCCTGTCATTGTCTCTACTATCTACTATCTAATTGATAAAACATTTTTCACATCTCCTAGGTCTTTAGTCTCAAATCGTGTTTTAAACTGATTCTTCATTTTCTCTATTTCAGTACGTTCCTTAAATAAAAGAATATCGTCTACATAAATCGATATAATCATATCCCTGTTACCATCATAGTATACACAAGGATCAGACATACTTCTCATATATCGTTGACTTTTAATAAATTCGTCTAAAGTCTTATTCCACATTAAACCTGACTGATGTAATCCATACAAGCTTTTATTTAGTTTACATGTTAAACCTTTTATACGGATTTCATCTTTTGCTAATAATTCCGGAAACTTTTTTCAAAACTTTATACATTCCATAACCGTCTGATATGTGCATGTAAACAGTTTCTTTTAAATCTACTGCCAAGTACTTTTCTTTTTCTTTTTCTTTTTCTTTTTCTTTTTCTTTTTCTTTTTCTTTTTCTTTTTCTTTTTCTTTTTCTTTTTCTTTTTCTTTTTCTTTTTCTTTTTCTTTTTCTTTTTCTTTTTCTTTTTCTTTTTCTTTTTCTTTTTCTTTTTCTTTTTCTTTTTCTTTTTCTTTTTCTTTTTCTTTTTCTTTTTCTTTTTCTTTTTCTTTTTCTTTTTCTTTTTCTTTTTCTTTTTCTTTTTCTTTTTCTTTTTCTTTTTCTTCTTTTTCTTTTTCTTTTTCTTTTTTCTTTTTCTTTTTCTTTTTCTTTTTCTTTTTCTTTTTCTTTTTCTTTTTCTTTTTCTTTTTCTTTTTCTTTTTCTTTTTCTTTTTCTTTTTCTTTTTCTTTTTCTTTTTCTTTTTCTTTTTCTTTTTCTTTTTCTTTTTCTTTTTCTTTTTCTTTTTCTTTTTCTTTTTCTTTTTCTTTTTCTTTTTCTTTTTCTTTTTCTTTTTCTTTTTCTTTTTCTTTTTCTTTTTCTTTTTCTTTTTCTTTTTCTTTTTCTTTTTCTTTTTCTTTTTCTTTTTCTTTTTCTTTTTCTTTTTCTTTTTCTTTTTCTTTTTCTTTTTCTTTTTCTTTTTCTTTTTCTTTTTCTTTTTCTTTTTCTTTTTCTTTTTCTTTTTCTTTTTCTTTTTCTTTTTCTTTTTCTTTTTCTTTTTCTTTTTCTTTTTCTTTTTCTTTTTCTTTTTCTTTTTCTTTTTCTTTTTCTTTTTCTTTTTCTTTTTCTTTTTCTTTTTCTTTTTTCTTTTTCTTTTTCTTTTTCTTTTTCTTTTTCTTTTTCTTTTTCTTTTTCTTTTTCTTTTTCTTTTTCTTTTTCTTTTTCTTTTTCTTTTTCTTTTTCTTTTTCTTTTTCTTTTTCTTTTTCTTTTTCTTTTTCTTTTTCTTTTTCTTTTTCTTTTTCTTTTTCTTTTTCTTTTTCTTTTTCTTTTTCTTTTTCTTTTTCTTTTTCTTTTCGGACAAAATTTTGATATTTTCTTCTTGTTTCCAAACCATACCCGGCAACCAAATACTCTTAAATATGATAAATCAAATGTAACCTCCTTTTTCCACTTTTCAGTAGGACTGATATTTTGATTCGTAACGGTTGGACTTCTATTTCTTATATGACACGCTGTAGCTAATGCTTCTACCCAGAATTTTTGTGGAACACCAGATTCGATTAGCATGCATCTTGCAGCGTCCAATAATGTTTGATTTATTCTCTTCGCTACTCCGTTCTGCTGCGGTGTACCTGGTACAGTGAGCTGATGTGTTATCCCATTTTCTGTTAAATACTCTTTAAATTGTGTACTACAGAATTCACCTCCATTATCCGATCTTAAATTTGCTATTTTCCTATTATGTACATTTTCTACTCTTCGTCTAAACTCTATAAATTTTTCCAGCACTTCACTTTTCTTCTTCATGGAGCCTATTTCGTAATATCTCGAGTAGTCGCCTGTAAAAGTAACAATGTACTTATTCCCTCCATTTGAGAGTGGTAAAATCGGCCCAACAACGTCTGAGTCTATCAACTCTAGTGGCGATATTGCCCTATTCATACTTTAAGTTGGAAAGGAGTTCCTTTTCATTTTTCCTTAGTAACAAATTGAACAGTTTTCTTTAATTATACCTTCATTATCTTCTATATCTTGTAACGGTTGGAACCGTTTTCGTTATTTTAATTTTAAAACCTATTAATAGAGGTATTATTTGGTGTTCTGATGCCATTATTTTGATGTTTGTTTATAATAATTAAAATTTTTGTCCAACTGGCTCATTGACTATATTATAATTTTATTTTATTCAACTTATTGTAAGTAGTTGCACTTTCTTAAAATAATAATTGAAAGACCGAGTTTGTAATCTAGTGTCCACTTACTAATTAATCACTACTTTTTACTTTCCTATCTGTATACAGATATAAGGAAAGTATAGGAATCATGATTTTTTTCGACCTCGAGTTTTCGACGGATTTTTACGTTTTGAGGTCCCCTGAATCCGTTTTAACTATTTTCGCGATGATGTCTATGTCTGTGTGTGTGTGTGTGTGTGTGTGTGTGTGTGTGTGTGTGTGTGTGTGTGTGTGTGTGTGTGTGTGTGTGTGTGTGTGTGTGTGTGTGTGTGTGTGTGTGTGTGTGTGTGTGTGTGTGTGTGTGTGTGTGTGTGTGTGTGTGTGTGTGTGTGTGTGTGTGTGTGTGTGTGTGTGTGTGTGTGTGTGTGTGTGTGTGTGTGTGTGTGTGTGTGTGTGTGTGTGTGTGTGTGTGTGTGTGTGTGTGTGTGTGTGTGTGTGTGTGTGTGTGTGTGTGTGTGTGTGTGTGTGTGTGTGTGTGTGTGTGTGTGTGTGTGTGTGTGTGTGTGTGTGTGTGTGTGTGTGTGTGTGTGTGTGTGTGTGTGTGTGTGTGTGTGTGTGTGTGTGTGTGTGTGTGTGTGTGTGTGTGTGTGTGTGTGTGTGTGTGTGTGTGTGTGTGTGTGTGTGTGTGTGTGTGTGTGTGTGTGTGTGTGTGTGTGTGTGTGTGTGTGTGTGTGTGTGTGTGTGTGTGTGTGTGTGTGTGTGTGTGTGTGTGTGTGTGTGTGTGTGTGTGTGTGTGTGTGTGTGTGTGTGTGTGTGTGTGTGTGTGTGTGTGTGTGTGTGTGTGTGTGTGTGTGTGTGTGTGTGTGTGTGTGTGTGTGTGTGTGTGTGTGTGTGTGTGTGTGTGTGTGTGTGTGTGTGTGTGTGTGTGTGTGTGTGTGTGTGTGTGTGTGTGTGTGTGTGTGTGTGTGTGTGTGTGTGTGTGTGTGTGTGTGTGTGTGTGTGTGTGTGTGTGTGTGTGTGTGTGTGTGTGTGTGTGTGTGTGTGTGTGTGTGTGTGTGTGTGTGTGTGTGTGTGTGTGTGTGTGTGTGTGTGTGTGTGTGTGTGTGTGTGTGTGTGTGTGTGTTGTGTGTGTGTGTGTGTGTGTGTGTGTGTGTGTGTGTGTGTGTGTGTGTGTGTGTGTGTGTGTGTGTGTGTGTGTGTGTGTGTGTGTGTGTGTGTGTGTGTGTGTGTGTGTGTGTGTGTGTGTGTGTGTGTGTGTGTGTGTGTGTGTGTGTGTGTGTGTGTGTGTGTGTGTGTGTGTGTGTGTGTGTGTGTGTGTGTGTGTGTGTGTGTGTGTGTGTGTGTGTGTGTGTGTGTGTGTGTGTGTGTGTGTGTGTGTGTGTGTGTGTGTGTGTGTGTGTGTGTGTGTGTGTGTGTGTGTGTGTGTGTGTGTGTGTGTGTGTGTGTGTGTGTGTGTGTGTGTGTGTGTGTGTGTGTGTGTGTGTGTGTGTGTGTGTGTGTGTGTGTGTGTGTGTGTGTGTGTGTGTGGGTGCGTGCGTGCGTGTGTGTGTGTGTGTGTGTGTGTGTGTGTGTGTGTGTGTGTGTGTGTGTGTGTGTGTGTGTGTGTGTGTGTGTGTGTGTGTGTGTGTGTGTGTGTGTGTGTGTGTGTGTGTGTGTGTGTGTGTGTGTGTGTGTGTGTGTGTGTGTGTGTGTGTGTGTGTGTGTGTGTGTGTGTGTGTGTGTGTGTGTGTGTGTGTCTGTATAACGCATAAACCGATACACGGAAAAACACCAAATTTCAAACTTAAGCTTTGTTCCAGCGTCTAATAAGCTGATTAGATTTTGGGCAGAATCGGAACATCTGGGGGGGTACTTTATAAGTGGTCATTTTTATATTTTATGGATAATATCTGTTATTTACGTTTGGGGAAGAAAATTCTTCAAATGAAAGTTATCTATAATTTTTGTTATATACAAAATTTTCCTAAAATGGTCCGTATTCGCGAAATTTGACAAAATGTAAAAAAATATTTTTTTTTACAAAAATTGTTCAAACAAAAGTTGTTTGTAATATAATTTTCTATAATTTTTATCCTATAGATAATTTCTCTAAAATGGAACGTATTCGAGATATTTGAGAAAATGTGTAAATTTCGAAATTTGAAGAAAA